CAATACCAACCATAGAAGACCTGGAGGTCTGTGCAGACAGGCAGTGATGAGGAGGTCATGTGTTTGGGTTTACAACCAATGAGAAGGCAGAACAGAAAGTCTATATAAAGACAAACACACAGGAAGTAGGTCTCTTGGCTGAAGAGGCTAGCTGCAGAGTGAAGGGTAAGGCTCTTAGCTCTGACCTCTTGGGCTTTCATCTTTGCCTTGGCTCTGTGTTTCTTATTGAATAAGATGGTTACTTCTACACCCCCCTATTATGTAGCTCTGAATGTGCCAGGAGTTGCTATATAAACCAGGCTGGATTGACCTCACAGGGATCTACCTGCCTCTTCCTCCTGGGTGCTGGAATTAAAGGCATGCACTAACAGGCATTGTGGACAGGCTGTATTTGAACAGAAATCAGGAGAAATTCACTTTGCACTAAGGTAGGACTATACATGTACACTGTTGTCCAATCCATGCAGCAGTCAATTCTCTTTAGCCTACAACTTTCTGGTAGATATTACATATTAATAGCTGCATATCGATTACCAGGGGCTGTAATAAAGATACATGTCTGGTGAGATGACTTAGAAGTTGAGAACACTGGCTGATCTACAAGAGGCCAGGTTTGATGCTTAACACCCACACAACAATATAGCAGTTCACAGCTACCTCCAATTCCAGTTCTAGAATCCAACACCCTCATTTGACTTCCTCAGGCACCAGGCACAAATGTGGTGCACAGGCATATACAAAACACCTATACATACAAAGCAAACAAGTGTCAATCACATCTGATACAGCTACAATCAGGGCTTCTCCTTGTTGATTAGTTTTTGCAGACTGTGGACTGCAGAACAGAATGGAGTTGCAACAGGGATAATAAATACTATATCCTCCCGTATTTACAAGCAGCACTACATTCCCTGGACTGTGCTGGGATACTGCTTTCCAATATTTGTCCCCTGACAAACTTCAGTGACCACCATGCCTTCTGCTTGGTCTTTTGGAAACAGTCTCTGTCATTTCATAGTGAAGAAATCATCTCAACTAACTGCTGTATCTACACTGATCATACATCTAGGAACCAGGGAAATGATTGCTGGGTGGTTCTGGAGATCCAGTGGACTCACTGTGACAGGGACATTACCTGACCTCTTCATGGCCTCCTATCTCAAGAGATAGTGAGGGAGCCTTGGGTTCCCAAATATCAGCATCAGCTCAGATGCTGTGCCCAACATCCTCTGAAAGAGCCATACGTTCCTTTCCTTGGCAGGAAACAATGTGAACAGATGTCCTGAGATTCCTTTGAGGGAAGAACTGTGAGCCATGGTGTATACACATGCAAGGTTCCTTCTATTGAGAAACAGGTCTCATTCATTTGATGGGCTCTGAGTCCCATTTAGAACTGTCTGAAGTTGGAAAGTGTAAAAAGGATCTAGACTTTACATTGGGATAGTGGACTTCCACCATGTGTCCATCTGATTCCCCCCTTTGATGATATATATGAAAAGTAGCCTACAGGCTGCTCCGCTGTCCTGACTGTAGGAATATCCTATCCTATTAGCTTTCTCCACAGACACCTACAGATAAGGTCTCCAGCTGTCTCTCTAAGGAAATTACTTTATCTGGCTCCAACAGCTATGTGCTTCCACCTGGTCTGTTATTCTGGGACCTAATGTTTCCATTGCTACTGTGGAAGTCAGGACTGTGCCATGGTCCTACCATTATTCCATTCTACAGACAGCAGCCACTGATGGGCTGCTCCACGATGCTCAGGGCCACAGCAGTGTGTCCCTAGTCACCTCATGAAGTTCATGCCTCTGAGTGGCCCTGAGAAGCACAGTCATTTCTAGTACTAGAGGGTGAAGCTATCTCACCATTACAATTAGGTTTGTACCTCTTAGTCTGCTGTCATGGTTCCAGCTGCTTACTTCCACTTCATTAATATGCTCTGAATTATGCTGAACCTGCAGGAGCCACCAGGAGACAGCCTGGAATCACTACCCTGGCCATCACCAGGTTGATTAGGTTGTACAGCACAGAGGAACATTTAAGTATCAATAACTCTGTTAGGCAGTTTAGTATTTCAGCTTTCTTTATTCGGTCCACCCCAAACACAACCTTCTTGCTGAGCTTGCCATTCCTCTGGTGTGTAGCCCCTCTCACACCTTCCAGCCACACCCAGGGCTTGTCCACTTGAGCCATCCTGGGAGGCCTCACATAGTCTTCATTCAAGCAAGACAGGGGAGAGTGTTGGCTCTTCCTTCCAAGACACAGCAAAGGGATTCTTTCATAGGCAAGTAGGTTCAGGGGAAACAAGTTCAAGCCCCTACCCATATCTATTTCAATACCCCCTGTCAGGACCCTGACTTTGGCAAGAGACTTCCAGAACTTAGAATCCAGCCTTTGCTGGAGATCTGTCTTTCTGATATAAGGGCCTGGAACAAGCCTTTGCTGCTGTCTGAAAATACAGCTGCAGGATTGGGTGTCTCTTTCCTAACACTTGGGATTCTGCAGCTAAGCCTGCCAGTAGCTTCTATCAATTTATTAGCACAAAGTACCAATAGCCAGCAAACCCAGCATTCTTAGAGTTGCCTTTTTCCCATCCAGTTGTGAATATGCCACTTTGCCTGTCGCTCACACAGTCGTTAGTGCCTTTCTACAGGCTAAAATTGGGTCCCTGTGCTGGTATTGCACCTGAGGGCCTGTTGATATTCCACCAATCACCTTTTGGTTGGACAGTGACCCAACTCTAGAATCCCACCCTAGGCTTGTTTCTAGGACCATTGTCTTCTGGGACCATCATCTTCTAGGACTATCATCTTCTAGGACCATCATCTAGGATGAGTCTCCTAGAGAAATATCCAAAGATGGGGTCTTTTTATGAGTCTTATTTGGTGAGTTGTTTGCTCTTGAATCAGGTTCTTACTTTATAACCCAGAGTAGCTTAAACTCACTATGTAGCCCAGGCTGGCATCACACTTGCAGCTATCCTTCTGCCTCAGCTTTCCAAGGGCTGGGATTACAGGAGTGTGTCACCACATGAGTTGGAGTCTTAGAAGCTTGTGGTTTATTATAAAGTGCTCTCAGGAGTAGGGACAAGGGAAGCAACATATGTGTGTGTGAGAGAGCTAAATCAGTTGGACTTGGGGAGCAGAGAGCAGCAATTTATCACACCCTTGGTTCTAGCTAGAGGCAGGGGGATGGACCACAAGGCCGAATGTGACCCAGAGAATCCTCTGGGGATGACAGAGTCGGTAGAGAGCACTCACTGCTGTGGGTGGGAAGACCTGGCCAGAAAAGGACAAGGGGCCAGGCCACCAGCAGCATCGGGGACGTCAGTCAACTGTTTTCATTTGTGTCCTGAATAGCAAACACTTCCTTGAAAGTCTTCTCAAACTCAGACTCCAGTCTAAGTCCCATTTGGCCAAAGTTAACGTCCTAGAAAACAAATATCAAAGGCAGGAATGATGGTGATCATTATCAGTGAGAGAAATATCTCTTCCTTCTCGGCACTTCTACCCTCTGAATCTGTTCACCCCTGGTCCAATCACATGTAAGGAAACTTAGACTTTGGTATTTCTAAGAATTGTGCCTGTGTAAGGTAAGAAGCAGAAACTTCTCAGCTGGGAGATGACTCAGTGGGTCAATGTTTGTCACACAAGTGTGAGGGCCTGAGTTCGGGTCCCCAAATCCATGGAAAGCTGCACATGGTAGCACACATCTGTAATCCCAGCACTCCACGGTGGTGACCAACAGGTTGCCTTTTCTCAAAAAAGGTGAAATGTGAAGAACACCCATGGTTGCCCTCTAACTTGATCCTCATGTATACTATGACACACATGCTTTTACATTCACATGAACATGCACACACTTATGTATACTATGGCATACAGGCATTTGCATTCACACTTGAACATAAACACACTCATCTGTACTATGACACACATGTTTCTGCATTCACACATGAACATTCACATATTCAAGTACACACACACACACACACACACACACACACACACACACACACACACACATATTTAAGCTAGGAGCTTGACAGATGGCTTGGTGGTTAAGAGTATGTACTATTCTTGCAGAAGACCCAAGTTCAATTCTCAGCATTCATGGCAAGTAGCTGTAACATCAGCTTTGGAGTATCTAACACCTTTGGCCTTTACAGGTACCTACTGTCACAAGTACATACCCTGTGCCTTAACACACACACACACACACACACACACACACACACACACACACACACATACACACTTCTTTCTAGATAGGATTTTGCCATGTAGCACACTTCCTGACACTTGTTCTGTAGACCAGGATGGCCTCAGATTCCAAGATCTGCCTTTCTCTGCCTGCTGTGTGCTAGGATTAAAATACTGTGCTACCATACCCAGATTAAACATAGACATATTATAAAAATCAATTAATAGAAATAAATTCTCATGTGTGTATACAAAGGATGGCTTAACTTTCCTCTGCATGGTCAGTAGACAGGGGATGAAATGAGCTATGAACTCTGTGATGATGGGAACCTTTATGGTGTCTAGACAGTTGATAGATCTTAAACTGAAAAGCAAAGCAAAACAAAACACCTCACTTCCAGGATTCTGGTTTGTTTTTTTTTGGGGGGGGGGGCTGTTTGTTTGTATGTTTGTTTGAGATAGGGTCTCATACTGTAGACAAGGAAGGCTTTGGACACAAGACAATCCTCCTACCTCAGCCTTTTGAGGGCTGTGAACACAGGCATGCACCATGGGGTTGGCATCTCAGACTTCTTGCTTATGCAACTTTAATACAGGAAGATGTGGGAAATGTGAGTTTGCACATACCGGAAACTGAGGGAAGAGTAGCTGGTGAAAAGAAGATGAGATGCAGGCAGAGAGGAATGCTGACCTTGAACGTGGTCCTGTGATTGTGGAAGATGAGCCTCATGTCCTGCACAAACTCTCCCACGTGAGAGTAACCTCTCCTTCTCAGCTTTTTCTTGATGATGTCCAGCCACATAGCTTTCTGCACACCCACAGATGTTTCCCTAAACTGGAGACAGAAACAGCAATGGGAGAGGGACTGGTATGGCTCAGCATTTACCTTCCACGGGGCCCCAGAAAGTCCACAGAAACAACAGAGCCCGTGGACCCGGGGGACTGTGAGCCCAATCCTCTAAGTCACATGACATCATGGCACCAGTGATGGAGGGTTCAAGCACCAATACTTACATAACAATAATGTGGCATCTTGGAAAAAAAGGAGCTCTCAGAACAGCAATAGACTTTCAAGAGGACAAAGTCACACTTCTGCAGGAAAAGGAGACTCAATCAAAATGACTTATTAAGACAGAGTCCTACACATGCCCAGGAGGAAGGCACCACTCAAACCCACATTCTAGAAGTTTCTCTAACTTAGTGTCTCTTGGTTACAGACTTAGAATGGCTGAGTTAGTTCTTATGCCAGTGGTTTATGCTCTGGTAGCAGCATGGTGGAGTGTATCTTGGAGGAGCAGGCTCCCTTTGGTGCTATTCTTCTGACTCCAAACCTGTTTGTGCTCTTCCAGGGGAAAGGAGAAAGTGTGGGGTTCACAGGGACTCACCAACTGTTCCTGGGGCACCATGCGCCTCTGCAGTACCTCAGATTCTGGATGACTCTGCTGGCTTCCTAAGGACTGCATCCTACAGAAGATGCAGCTCCATGGTGTTCTGAAAGGTTGGACGTGAAGTGAGCAGCAGGCAAGCCTTGACAGCAGCCACAGTTCTGTGCCTGCCACTGTGCTTTCAGGAATGGCTGACAGTCTCATCTGGGGGAGAGGTTCCCAAGCTCTGAGGGACCCCCTGCGGGATCTTAAGCTGCCAGTGTTCCCATCAGGGTTGTGGCAGGAGCCAGTCCTTGGGAAAGTGGGATTTATAGTGAGTGCAGGGATCTACATTTTCCAACAGAGGTTTCTGGGAGCACAGAGAGGCGAGGCTATCAGGTCTGTACATAGTAAAATGGATTCCACAAGTTCTTGGAATCTTGGACCTCAATCGGTCCATTACAACCTGGTGAAATGTAGGAAGCAGTCATGTTTCCTTCTTTCATGAGTAAGTACAAAGGAGAAAAAACTTGGCATATTCCACTCTTAATCTTTTTGACAAGAAGTTCTGGTAAACAACTTTGAAGAAAAAGCAGTAGCAAGGCATCGGCAAAGGGCCCAGGCTTTGTGTCAGGAGAGAAGCCTCCCCTAACACAGAGACATCAATCTCTGGCTGACAGCATCTTCCTGTTTGGTGTCTGTTATGAAGAGCTCTTGCTCTTCCCCCATCAAGACACACACTCACAATCTACAAGAGTTATGTCTGTGACAAGGAAAAGATGTCTAAGAGGAGACAGAGAAGGGACGACATCTCACTCACCTCTCAGCCTCCACCGTTGGGATGTGACACTCCTCGTGGAAGGCTCTGGAGCAAGTATCACAGCAGAAGAGTGTTCCTACATCCCGGCACACCTCACACTCATCTGAGTTCTGCATCTAGAGAGAAGAACATCTGTGTCACTGGGAGATGAGACCCACAGAGCCACCACTGTGGCAATCCTCAATGTGGGGCCTTTGTATGTATCTGCAAGGACATGGATGCATCTTCCTGGGACAATAAGGAACATCATGGAATGTAAAATGCACAACAAGACTTTCTGCTCTCCAGTGAAGTTTGAGAGAAGGGGGCCATGAACCATCTTCCTTGTCAACCAAAGATCCCGACACAGGAAGGCTGCCAAGAAAACGCTATTTACACAGTCTGGCTACTTTTCCTATGATGTAGATAAAATAAATTTCTGAAGTAAATATTAAGTCCATTTGCCTACACAGCAATGATGATATTGACTCACCAAGAGATGATACTACTGGGAATTTAATTTGATGGGATAAACTAAGAGAATACCATATTCTGTAATGGAGCCATGAACAAGCCTTTGAAGAAAGAGTCTGCAGAGGAGATTTTAGACAGTGAGTTCTGTACCTAGAGAGCCCTGAGCCTGTGGTGGGGCCTCTGAGAAGACAGGGGATGAGTACAGATGACCAGCCTAGTAGGTACAAAGAAGGAAAGGACTCTGTGGCTGCTGGAATCTTGTAGAAGATTCCACATGACCAAAGAAAATGGGCATGTGAGGCATGGAGTCACCATCACTTAAATATAAGGACTGTAGTCATGACAACCACCCAGGGATGGAGACTGGGATGGTTTTAATTGTAAACTTGATACAATCTAGAATCACCTGAGGAAAGAACTCCCTTGAAGGTCTAGTAGAGATCACGTTAATTACAGTTAGACCCACCCACAGTGGGTTCCTGGAGTGTGTGAGCAGAGAAAGTGCAGTGATCATGAACACACACAGGTTAGGTCATTGCTCTGTGCACTTGATGGCAGATGTGATGTGACCCGTTGTTCCATGTTCCTACCACCTCGACTCCCCTGCAAGGCTGGACTGGAACCTGTGAGTCGGTTAAGCCCATCCTCTCTTAAGCTGCCTTTGCCAGGGTATTTTATCACAGTCACAGGAAAGGGAACTGAGACAGACACCAAAGCTCTGCCATCTTTTTCTGGGAGCAGAAAAGAGAACTATGTTCTATAAAAGAGAAAAATCCCCCCAAGTCAACAGAGATTGGACTTCTTGTCATGCCTAATACAGAGTGGCTTTAGTCAGTCAAATTCAGTTTTTATCTAGAGAAGTTCAATTGACAGTGTGTGTGCCTTGTTGCTATAGAGTAAGGTCTATTTAGTCAAATCAATAGGCTGTTCAGAGCAATGATGAAGAGGCCAATAGATACCCACTGTATGGTACTCAAACCCATGTGTGCTCAAGGTGTAGAAGTGGCCTATGCCTGAACCGCTGCTCTGTGGGAAGAGTGGCATAACACCAAAGTTAAGGCTCATTGTTATATCCTGCCCAGATATCTAGAAAAGTCGGAAGGCTTAAGTGGGGTGCTCAGATTAAGGCATCCCACTTAGGAGATTAAGGCAGCAAAACTATGAGTTTGGAGACAGCTTGAAACCTCTGTACAAAACAAACAACTGAGGGCTAAAATGGCCTCTGAGTTCTCTGTACCACTCTGCTCCTGCAAGTGAAGACCTCTTGCTAACAACCCCCATCATCCTTGACTGGCGGGGTTCAGTTTCTGTCCCCCACCAGAGAACTATTCTAACTGGTACCTCACAACCTCCCTTGGGATGTTGTGGAGTTTCCTATGATCAGTGTTAATACAGGAACCAGAAAGTATCTGAGTGACATGTGGACAGGAACTCATGCATTCCTAGTGTCACTTTCAGAAAGAACAGTGGCAGTTGGAGATCTGGATGGTGGCTCTATATCCATATAGAAAACCCCCAAATCAGACGTGGTGGCACATTCCAGGAACCTAGGCACTGGAAAGTCGAGACAGGAGGATCAGGAAGGAGTTCAAGGCCATCCTTGGCTACATAGTGAGTTTGAGGTCATTTTGATCCAAATGAGACCCTGTCTCAAAACCATCATGGAAGGCAGAGAGGGCGGGAAGCAGCAGGGATGGTGTGAAGGAAAATCTCCTATGCAGTCCTTGGGCTGTTGGGAAAATTCTACTTTCTTGTGACCGTCTGAGGGACAAACATGGCACTGGCCTGAGGACTGGTCCACCACTGAGTGAGTGGTGGGAAGAAGGGAAGTAGGCAAGGTGACAGGGTCAACCATTCTGTGCCCTGTGCCATCTCTGCCTTCAGGTGAAGCCTGGCCTGTGTCACAATTCTTGGTGGTTTTGCTCCATCACCTCAACTGCTGGACCACTTTCCTTCCTGGATCCTCCTCATCATCATCATGCAGACACAAAGGATGGAATTCCTCAGGTTTCCATCCTTGGCAACAGTCTGTCCATATGATCAGAGTCAATCCCCAGCTGCAGGTTTCCCCTTGTGTCCTCAGCTTCAGGGCGTCTCATCTCTCCTCTGCAGCCCTACATGTCCGAATGCTCAGCGATGTCTCCTCTAGGGCTCCTTAAGTGCACCTCACACTCATCCTGTGAAACTATAGCCCGTTGTCCTCCTGCACCCCACTTGTTCTTTGGCACTTCCATTTTATATAACGTGCTCCACACACCACAAACCCCGGAGTCCATCCTGCTTCTGTGCTCTCATTTTCTAAATCAATCCAATTCATTGTGCCCTGAACACTAATTTTAAATTTTATTTAAAATTTTGCTTTGTTTAGCAAGATCCACAAAATACAAGGATGCTGGTGAGCAAAGAATATTGACAGGACCAGAAGGATTACGATGATGTGATAGCTGTTCTTGGTTGTCAACTTGGCTATATCCGGGATGAACTACAATCCAGAAATGGAGGGCACATCTGTGATTCAGATCTTGAGGCAGAAAGACAGCATGCCTTTGGTCAGGATTTTCAGCCCGAATGACACACACCTTTAATCCAGATCCTGAAGCAGGAAGACACATTTTTAATCTGGGCCACAGCTTCCTCTGGGAGCCTATGTAAGGACAGTGGAGAAAGGAAGGGTCATCCATTCTTCTTTTCCTGCTTGCCCCTGCCTTGCCAGTGCATCCCTTCCTTCACTGGCACTGGAGCCTTCTTCTTTGGAATCCCAGTGTATACAGAAGACCAGCTGAGACACCCAGCCTCGTGGTACTGAGTAACTAATAGATTCTTGAACTTTCTATTAACAGCTAGCCATTGTTGGATTAGTTGGACTGCAGTCCGTAAGTCATTCCAATAAAGTCCCTTTTTGCAGATAGATAGATAGATAGATAGATAGATAGATAGATAGATAGATAGATAGATAGATAGATAGATAGATGATAGATGGATTCCTTCCATAAATTCTTTGACTAGAGAATCCTGACTGCTACAGATTTTGGTACCAGAGTGGTTCTAGAGAAACAGAACTATAAGGATGAATCTTTTAAGCATTTGTAATAGGCTTTTTAATTCACCATCACCTTCAGATAATGAAGTCTCTCCAGGCACTCCATCTCCAGGTAGCTCAGAGAATACTGAAAGCCCATGGTGTGAATTATATTACAAACTTAAAAATGTAAATGGCTTTGATTATCTTGATTAACCAATTGTGGGTGGCAAAGAATTTGGTGACCCTATGTATGAAACTTTTGACAGTTTGGGGGAAAATAAGAAAAACGATGTTGCTGGTTGGTTGCTCTTAGCATCTCTGGATAAATTGATAAAAGGATAGGAACGAGCTCCATGATAAAATTAACCAACTTCAGAATACAGTGAAGCACAGCAATGAACTCAAAATTGACCAGCTCCAGATGTGAATAAACAGCCTAAAGGTTTTTAAGTTTGCCATGGAAGAAAACCTTCTCTCCAGCAACCACAGAGCTCAAAACCAAACTGAAAGGTTGCCTGAATTACAGTGAAAATTCAAGTCTCAGCCTCAGGGTGTCAACAGTTAAAGGAGGGGCATTAATTAGTAAAGAATGGGATCCTATAACCTGGGATGGGGATGTGTGGAAGGACTTTGTTGAAGCTGAGAACTTTGTACCCTCAGATTCTTACCTGAGGAAGCAGCGCCCTCAGTCCCACCCTGTGAAACATTGCCCTTTTAACCTTCCACTGAGGGGATTAATCCTTCAGTGTCTGCTGCACCAGTGATGACTTTCTCTGAAGGAAATGCCAAGCAAGACAATACATATGTCCTCCAGGGCCCATAATTTGTTGTCTCTAAACCTTTAACCAGACTCAAGGCAAAGCAGGCTCCTGGAGGGGAAGTAGAAAGTGTAGTCCATGAGGAAGTATGCTACACTACTAAGGAGCTTAAGGATTTTCATTCAAGCAGAAATCTGGGGAATATGTGTGGGGATGGATTTTAAGGGTGTGGGATAATGGTGGAAGGAACATAAAACTAGATCCAGGGCACACTTAAAAACCTTTGGACACATCTGGAGCTGGTCAATTTTGAGTTCATTACTGTACTTCACCGTATTCTGAAGTTGGTTAATTTTATCATGGAACTCTTTCCTATCCTTTTATCAATTTATCCAGAGATGCTAAGAGTAACCAACCAGCAACATCGTTTTTCTTATTTTCCCCCAAACTGTCAAAAGTTTCATACATAGGGTCACCAAATTCTTTGCCACCCACAATTGGTTAATCAAGATAATCAAAGCCTTGATATGGGCCCTCTGAGTGGAGAGGCTAGGTTTAATATGGAAGCTCACACAGTTAAAAAGAAAAAAAGTGTCAAGTTTGTGTGAATGGTTGGCTAAAGCATTTGTTAAAAGATGGCCTCCTTACACCCTGTGGTTGCTGGAGGCTGTCGTGTAGGTACAGCTTTCTAGTGGATAAAATGGGCTAGAGAAACCCTGTGATTTATGCATGGGAGCTGTTTCTTCTCAGCAGCTGCCATAGCCCAGTCATTGGTACATTATTTAAAAACAAAAAAAGGACAAAAACCAAAACCCATGTACATGAGTATATGTTTATGTCTATATTGCACATATTAATTCATAATAAAGACTTGTATATTAGA